GCAGGCCACCCAGGACAAGCACAAGCAGCTGGACCAGAGGAATGGTGAGTGCTCTTCTCTCCCTCTTTGGGCTCCTGAGCACATTCTTTCTCATGCACGTTTAAGCTGCCATCGCCCTTCCACTAGTGCCCTTACAGAGGACTCACTAGGTTCCAAGAGCACTAGACCTTCAGTAGAGGACCTTAACGAAGCCTATGTAAGCTTGGTATCCCCAGGAAATTGCAATGGAATCAATGGAAAAACTTTATTAGGCCTAGAAACTCGGCAGCCTAACTGTTTAGGGTAATAAATCCTAATCCTTAATCCTAAAATCTGGTGGTGCGGTGGCTCTGTGGTTACGGATCTGCGCCTGTGGCTGGAAGTTTCCCGGTGTGTATCCCATGGTCGGCAGGGGAATCCTACTCCATGAGCCCCTGAGCAAAGGTCCTTAACCCCAGCAGCTCCAGGGATGCTGTACAATGGCTGACGCTGCGCTCTGACCCCAAGCTTCTCTCCCTGTCTGTGTGTCTCATGGAGAGCAAGCTTGGATAATCGAAAAGACAAATTCCTAATACAAGAAATTGTACATGGCCAATAAAGTGGTCTTACCTTAATACAGTTATTTGTTTAATTAAGTCACAGTCTGCAGTCATGGACAAATGTGTTCACCCGCTCATGTCTTTTCAGTGGAAAGAGCCTTAATTGACACTTCTGTGTGAATCACTTAGACAATGATGATGTATGGGGGTGTGCATGCTCTACATATGAAAGTGTTCCTCAGTTCATTTTTGGTGCCTGTTTTGTGTTGCTAAGGTGGGCAAACCCAGCAACAACATGATGCGGTCAAGTTAAGTATGAGTGCAACTGGTCTGCAGCTCTGCTTTCATCAGCTGTGCTAACTGCCTGCAGAGTTAGGTTCAGATCCCTCCTGGCTAGCCTGGCCTCCCTTTAGGTCTAGTGATTTAGCTGGAAATTCTTCATATCTTCTCCTACCTTTTTGTGCTGAGTCTGGTGATTTGCACAATTATGGATAAACTGAATCAGCTCTTCCTTGTGAGGACTTTTTCTTGATTAAAGATGTGCTATAATGTCCAGTAGTATTGCTGAGGGCTGTTTTTGTGTGTTTGTATGCCGGGTAAAGACAATTTGCTCAGGGAGATCACCTCTCTGAGGGAAGAGGTCAGCACTCTCCAGGTGACCACAGCTGAGCTGGACAAGGAAAAAGATGTCCTGGAGAGCGAGCTGGATGACAAGATTGAACTCATCTCTTCTCTGAGGGGCCAACTGGAGGAGAAGGTTTTAAC